TATATATATTTCGAAGCAGAATCTGAAAATATATTTCGAAAAAAATCGAACCCACTGAATGCACAGTGTGTCCTTAAGGAAATTATTCCCCTAAAGTACCAGAGGTTTTGGAATATTATCCTCCCAGGATAATGATTTAACTCACCAGCGTATTGGTACCAAAAATTTCAATGAACTTCGAACCACTTAATGGTTGTAAAACACACCGGAAAATTTTGTGCAAAAGAAGAAGAAGAAGCTGAGAAAATTTTCGTAAGGAATGATTCTAAGATCAAGGCATATTTATAGCCATTTTCTAGCATTTTTTCTGAAAAGCTTTGCAACCTTTCAGAAACAGCCGTGACTGTTGGAACAGGTGGGAACATTTCACGTTTGAAATATTCCGGGAAAAAGGATTTAAAATAATCCGGGAAAGAACCGGACCGGGTCGTGTGCGGGTCCTGGGTTATTCCGGATTGAATTTTCGTTAATTAATTAAATAATTGAAAGAAATTTTGTCCAAAAAGATTAATCAATCAATTGATCCGAATCCGAATCCGAGCGACGACGACGGCGCGAGACTTACTTTCTTTCCAACCCATTTAACACCAAGATAAGTGCTTTCTCAGTATAAGCACATTTATTTTTCTTTCCACCACCAATGACGGACACTTTGCTCTTTCCAAAGCAAAATGGAGCTCACTTTCCCTCCACTTTCTTCCCTCCATTTTTCATTCACCAATCTTTTAATCCCAACAAAAACATTCTCCTTCATACCAAACACGCCCTAAATGCAAAAATATGATCAAAGAAAATCTTATTTGACCCCCTAAATAGTAATATGTTAATTCTTTTTTAGCAGAGGGAGTATTATATAAATAATAACAATTCAATTAATTTAAATATAGATTAATAAAGGGCCTAAAATTCCAAATTTAAAGATGATATTAAAGACTTCTAATATAACTATATATTTGATTTTAAAAGGCCAAAATCATCTTGCTTTGTTTTTTGTTAATTACATGAATAGCTTGTTGTTACACTCGAAGAAGTTGCTTATCTTAATTGAAATATATCCTTCATGTGATAATTGATTAACGAAGAAGGGAATTGCTTTTGCTTTTCTTGAATATTTCTGTATGTGTATTTAAGGTGTTAATCTGATATTGGATGTATCTTAAAAGTGTATTCAACATTTCAACTCAAATCGGTAAATTTAAGTAGCTGATAATCACCATCATCTCAAGCTGTAATTGTTTATGATGTTGTCAAATGAAGTTTTTAGTTTTTCTAACATTTACCTTTTTCCATTAGCATTTCTGTGCACTATAATTCTCTATTATATGTAAGTTGAAGTCGAACAAATCGTGGTTACCAACTTACCATACCATATATTACCAAAATCGAACTTAAAAATACCAAACCATACCAAATTAAGTTGGTCTAACAATGGTATAGTATTTTTAAAAATCAAAAACTGAAATTACCGTTGAAATTTTCAAAGCCATACCATACCGTACCATGAACACCCCTACTTCTGCTCACTTTAGATTATTACCTGACAACGACAACAATAACCCACATTATTACCCCGAGTACCTGAATAATAATGTGTATGATGTTAATAATGTCCTCATGTTGTCCAAGGTTGCTAAGGCAGTTTGAATTGTAGCCTCTGAAACAACATATTGTTATTTTTTGGTTCCCCGGTATTCGGTATTTGCATTAGAACCTGACTAAATTCGAATTCGGAAAATTCGACATTGTGAGGTAATGTGCTCCTTAACAAAGGCAACTCGAAGCAATATATTACCACGTCAAGTAAAAAGCTGCTCTTTAATCTAAAAAAATACTGAGTGATTCCTTATTATCCGCCTAATATCTGTGGGCAGTCACTTAGTACTTGTGCTAGTGAGAAGTAGGATTTAGCCGATGAAATAGTCGAGGTGCACACATATGGATCCGGATATCACCTTTAGCCAAATAAAAAAAAGCTACTCTTTAGTATCCAACACTTCATGTTCTTTATCTCACTTTCTAATGGTTATAAATTATAGTTATTGCTCATAGATCCCATCATTACAATCCCATCACTAACAACACTGAACTCATTAGACTCGGTCAAAAGCAAAATAAAAAATAAAAAAATTAGGTACACTGAAAAGCAAACCTAGCACATGTACTGCACAGGGAAGAACTCATTTTGGTCATCATCATCATCTTAACGTTGCGTTGATGCACTCCCGCGGATAAAGGAACCACGGCGATCGCTCCCAATCATCACATCTTTCAGTCGGGATATGGGACTAATAATAGTTTTGCCCATTCTCTGTCAATGTGTAGAAAGCAAGTAGGTGAATCCAAAAATGCAATTTATCGCAGGATGAAATATTAGCGGCAAATATGAAATACGGTAATATGGTTTAAGAGAATCTTAAACCCCATAAATCATCCACGTGTATAACCTCATTAATTCAGCTTATGTTTCTCACTGTTAGGCCATCTCATCTAATGCTATAAAGACTAGGCTCTCATAGGTACTATTTGGCTGCAATCTTTCTTCAAATATTTTAACCCCACAGAAAGGATCATTAAACTCTTTAGAGGTATTCAATCTGTCTAGTTTACGAGTTAATTTTTAAGCACTCTGTCTTATCTACATGTTGTCGACTAGATCAGAAAGAAGCACAGTGAAAGCTTTCTCATACCATCAGCCCCTCCAAGACCCAATCCTATTTGTTGGGCCCTCTCTTTTAAAATAGCCTGCCTTAGTCAACTTAAGAAGAAAAGTTAAGGCTGCTAAGGGATGCAAAATAACTTCCACTCATAAGTTGCGAAACTAAAATTTTGTTGTAGAACTCAAAGGACAGCCGAAATACTGAGGGAAACAAGCTCAATAAGAAAAATCTACTGCCAAAATTGAGCGGTGTATTTGCATTGTATTAGGCTATGGTCTGTGTATTCCCCCACTCCCGCCACAAGCTATACCAACTCACCACAACCCTCCTCTCCTTTGAACTACCTACTGTTATCATTGCATCTCCTACGTGCACCAAGTAAAGCAAGCTACCTTCTAGAAGCCTTGGTGTCTCCCACTTTCTTTCACATCTCCCTTTTATTGCATCTCTGGATGATTCACTCTGATACAAGAAACTCACCATAAACGCCTCTCGCCTCAATATCATCGAATCCTCCCTTCCACCTCCTAAAAGACCACTCAAATAGCCGGGGAAGAAATTTCTTTATATCATTCCATTCCCATTCCCACTTTATAAATGTGTATCCAACTAGTGAATGACATGTCAAAATAATTGACAAAGTAAAATACATATCCCACATGTATCCTGGGAACACGAATATGCACTGCTTCCAGGTAAAGCAGAATAAATATTTCAGCATTACCAAATAATAGTGATATTTGAAAGATTGAAATCTCTCGATAACAACGGATTCAAGCAGTAAAAGAAAAGATGATCAACTTAGGAAGAAACAAAAGGGTATTGTTCAAAATGAATGAAATGGAATCTGGACCGATAAAAGGAAAAAAGAATTAGAGCAATGAGAGGGAGGACGAAGGAAAGCTAAAGAAGACATTGGAGGTCTGCTAAGTACGACAACTGGCATGCAACCAACCTGAAACGACCTTATTTAAATCCAGCAAATTGGAGTATAATCCTGTGTCTCTCGAATCCTTATCTCCATTGGAATATCTGATTTGCTAGTATTTACCTGACATTTCCCTCTGACTAGCAAAAATTAGGAAGTACTAAAATCATGTAATCACCTCCTTTTCAGGAAGTTACAATCAAAAGAATCAAGGCAAAAGTTAAGTAATCAATCACTTCAACATGATTCAGCTAATTGATTAAAAAACTCACTAACAATGACAGGACCAAGGTAGGACATGATCAACTCAGTGAAGACAGCAGTTTAAACTACCTCAAGTAGAATAGCAATAAACTTACCTCATCATTGCCTCCAAACTGCCACTTCATTTGCACTACCTGCCACCTTTCAAGCTGCCATCTCTGACCAATAACCACAAGGCCCATAACAGCTGCAGCAATGAAAACGGACCAGAATGCATTTGCATCTTTTGCATGGGCAATAAGTGAAACAGCCCGCCTTTTCCACCACGCTTGACAAGGAAGATTTTCTGCATCATAGTTATCCTCATCTTTAGCCTTTGGAAAATTTGACATGCCTGAATCTATACCCTGGTGAAAGGGTTCAACTGGTTCTGCAACAATATTGCTTTCCTCTGTTGATGCTGACCCACACATGGGTTCTTCACTATGGAAAGAACTATAAGTAGTGGCATCAAAGAAATTCTGCTCTTTGTCCACCAAACCTAGCCCCTGCAAGACTGCATCTTCTTCAAATTCTGCACCACATGCGGATAAAATGCTACCCTTTTCATCAAATATTTGATCTCCAGGAAATTCCATTGTGCTCAGTACTTTAGTTTTTGTACTCTCTTCATATGTATCTGAATTAACCCCTTTGTCAGCAACAAATTCAGGAGAAGCATCTTTTCCACCCTGCCCGTTAAGAATCTCATCGTTATCTGGTTGAAAAGCCGAATCCTCGTGCTGATTTTGTGGAAGGCCAAAGTGCCCCGACATAAACATTGGATCAGAACTTTCAGCTACATACTCTGCACTATTATCATCGACAAGGTCGACTTGTTTTGGTCCAGGGGCAGCAGCATATACTGACTGTGTAAGCGTTACAACTTCCCACTCATTTCCACGAGGAGTATTTTCCTCCCCTTTCGCAATATTTGCCATCTTTTGCAATTGGATTCAACACACTTCACATTAATCAGAGAGAAAGAGAGTGGAAATGGCAAAGTGAGTAGAGATTGGAGCTTAGGAGCTCATAAAGCATGAAACACATTCAAAAATCAAATATTTTTAAGGAAAAAAAAGGAAGGTAATAAAGAATTTTCAATACTTCTCATTTTGCAATATTTTGAACCTATCCAGTCGCTACTCGCTAGTTATCCATTGATGCTTTACAGACATAGTCATGCTACTAGCAAGTCGACAAATATCAAAAACAGAAGTCTCAAGGCAAATACTTTGTCCTGTAAAAAAAAATGCATATTTATACCTGCAAAACAAAAAATTAGAATCTCCACTACTTTAAAACATCTCCAAACTGCTAAAACACTTCAACATATTATAACAAAATTGATATTTCATCCCTCTATTTCTAACTGTTTGCCAGCAAATTAAAACTCTCTCTCTCTCCATAATTAAGCAACATGTGCATGTGTAAAGCTTATACACAAGTTCTTAACATTCAATTTGAGCAATCAACATCTAGTTACTGAAAATACATACAAGAAGAGATATACATATACAAAAATCTCCAACCTTCCGTCAAAAATCACCAAAAGAAGAAGATGCACAAATTCCAAAACCTAAACCATATCCAATCAAGTAGTTAAAAAGCTAAAGCAGAATAGCTGATAGATAAGTCAATGATCATATAATCCAATCACAAAACCACAGAACCTGTTATTCCAAATTAAATTTGTGCTGATAGTATTAAAAAAAAGAGCTGAATTTTGGAATACTTACAGAAGTGAAAAGCAGATTAGGAGAGTTGAAGATAACGGTGCTACTGTTACTGTGAGAGAATGATTTTGAAACTGTCTCGAATTACGAGCGCAAGCATGATATATTTTTGGGGTGAAGAGGTACCGGGATAGCCGGTAACATTGTCTAGACAATTGAGGAAGTTTGCATTTAAACGATGTCGTTTGGATGCTAACTAGGACAAAAAACTGTGGGCCCCGGTGTAGTGTGTCGATGATTGCCGGTTTTTTCGATTGCTTGCGCGAGGAGTGAAGCATCCAGACCAATTCTCGTTCATAATACATACTCCGTTGAATAGCTACTACCATATTCCTCTTCGTATTTCCAGTAAGTATAAAAAAGGGAGAAAATGATAACAATGATTCTGTTATGCTTATGGATAAATTTAAAATAGTCCATTAAATATATTTATGAGCAGATTAACAATAACAATAATATACTCCGTGTAATCTCATAAGTGAGATCTGGAGAGGGTAATATGTATACATTCTTACCCTATCCTCTACCGGTAAAAAGACTATTTCTAATAGAGTCTCGACTCAAAGCAAACATGCATAGTCACATAAGAATAGAGAAAGAAATGCAGTAGTGAAAAAGTCTAAGAAGCAATAACAGCAGCAAGATAATAGAAAAACAAAACAAAAGGAACATCAGGTAGTTATAGAAATCTAAGAATATATGAAAATACGAGAAGAATAATATTACTACTTAAATGAAAGGAAAGACGTTCGACTGCCTACTATCCTTCTACCGTAATTCTCGACTGCCACATCCTCCTATCAAAGGTGATATCCTCGGTAAGCTGGAGATGCGTCATTTCCAGCCTAATCACTTCTCCCTAGTACACTTCTTCGGCCTACCTCTACCCCTCCTCCTACCCACTATCGCCAATCTCTTACACCTCCTCACTGGGGCATCTGGACATCTCCCCTTCACATGCCCGAACCATCTCAGCCTCACTTCGCGCATCTTGTCCACCACGGAGGCCACACATATCTTGTCCTGAATATCTTCATTCCTGGCCGCATCTCTCCTAGTATGTCCACAAATTTATCTCAGCATCCTCATCTCCGCTACTCTCACTACTAGAAATTCGCTAAAAATCGACCAAAAGAATCGACCAAAGTTCGTCGGTTATAGCCAATTACCGACCAAAATGCGACCATTAGGGTGTGGACGATGTTTTGATGGTCAGAATGGCTTACCGACCAAAGTTTATCGAAAATTACCGACCAACTTTGGTCGGTAGCTTAAAACGACCATCTGACAAGTTTAAGTACTTACCGACCAACGTTGGTCGGAAAATATATTTTATTAATTTAATTTTACCGACCAAAGTTGGTCGGTTTAACTAAATTATATTTTTTTATTAATTATTAAAATTTAAATAAACCGACCAACTTTGGTCGGTAATTGAAAATATATATTTTTTTAAAATAATTAAAATTAAATATTACCGACCAACTATGGTCGGTAACCTCAACAATGCAGGCAAAATACCGACCAAAGTTGGTTGGTAATGTTGAATTCTGGGAATTCAATGTTCATTAACCGACCAACTTTGGTCGGTATGTTGGAATAAATTTTTATTATTATTAAAAATCGACCAACTTTGGTCGGTTTTTTTTGGGTTTAATTTTGGCATAAAATGTCTGTTTTGGCAGCTACACTACCTGCCAACATACCAATACACCTAATAACAACCATATTCTTTCAGCATCCTCGTACGAAGGTTGGGTTGGCTCACCTGATTCACCAGCTAGATGACTACGGATGAATTCCTCCACGCTACTTTGGTAGCGACCCTATATTATTTTAAATTAAATCAGTATTTCAAAATTTTTATAAAAGTAAATTATAATACTTAAAGAAAATTGAAAGCTTACATATGCAGTCGAGGCCCGGTCCTCGACCCACCTATCTTGATCCCCCTCTTTCTTCTTCTTCACAATATGCGGCTTATTGAATAACTCATCATGACTCATTGGACGCCCATACTTCTTTTCCTGAAAACAAATTAATTTAGTTAATAAACAGAATAGATATACTTAAAAAAGTAAAACAATTTAAGCAATTACGTACCAATCTTTTTTTTTTATTGTCCCTAGGTTGATCGTACCTCCAGTGTGCAAGGAGCCCCCCTTCTCGGATGCGCGAGCTTTCTTTCCTTTTTCGCTCCTCTCTAAGAACTCCGCGGTAAGCCATTGCCTTTG